AATTATTGAAAAGGAGTGAATTTCTTCTGTCATTTTGCTGTTTGTTTTCTATATGCATTACCGCATATTTTTCCTCATTCCTGCATTATTTTCTTTTGTATGTGTGTTTAGTTGGTTTTTATAGTGAAATGTTTTAATTTTCTGGTCATTTGCTTTGGTGTATATTCTGTAACTTTTTCTTTTGGTTACCATGGGATTACATTTCCTATCCTAAAGTTATAACACTAACTTGAATCTATACCAGCTTAACTACAATAATATACAAAATTCTGCTGTGTTACAGCTCGGTCCCCACCCCTTTCAGTTAATGATGTTACAAAGTTACATCTTTATAAATTGTTTGTTCAAAATATACACTAATAGATTATTTTTTATAATGCATTAGTTTCTTAAATTATGTGGAAAACAAATGTGGAGTTACAAACCAAAGTTACAGTAATACTAGTTTTTATACTAACAATTGCTTTTTAAAAATATATTAGTCTCTTAAATCATGTAAAAAACAGAAAGTAGAGTTACAAGTGTTATTATAATAGTAGCTTTTATAATTGCACATGTATTTACCTCTACTGAGATCTTTATTTCTTCATATGGTTTCAGGTTACAGTCTAGTGATCTTTTATTTTAAACTGCAGGAGGACTCCCATAGCATTTCGCAGGATAGGTCAAGTAGTAAAAGCTTGTTCATTTTTTGTTTATCTGTGAATGTCTTGTGTGTGTGTGAGAATGCCTTAATTTCTCCCTCACTTTTGAAAAATAGTGCTGCCAGATTCAGGATTTTTGGTTGACAGTTTATTTCTCTTAGCACTTGGAATATTTCAGCCCAGCCTACAAAGTTTATACTGAGAAATCTACTGATCTTATTGAGGATTCCTTGTGTATAATGAGTGGCTTCTCTTTTTCTGCTTTCAAGATTTTCTCTTTGTCTTTTGAAAGTTTGACTTTAATGTGTCTCAGTGTGGATCTCTGAGTCCATCTTACTTAGAATTTGTTGATCTTCTTGGATGTTTATATTCATGTCTTTCATAAAACTTAAGAAGTTTTTGGCCATTATTTCTTCAAATACTCTCACCATCTTGCTCCACCCTCTGGAGCCATTACAATGTGTATGCTTATCTACCTCAATCCCACAGATTCTTTGGGTTCTGTTTACCTTTCTTCATTTTTTATTTTTGTTCCTCAAACTTGATAATTTCAATTGTCCTTTCTTACAGCTCACTAATTCTTTCGCTTCCTCAAATCTGCCTTTTAATTCCTCTAATAAATTTTTTCATTTCAATTACTGTACTTTTCAGTTCTTGGGTTTCTTTTTGGTTTCTTTTTAGGTTTCCTATCTCTGTTGAGATCTCTAATTTGACAGCTGTTTTAAAGTTTTTGTCTAGTTGGTCTGCCATATGGTCTTTGTTGGTGATAGTTTTCTTTGGTTCATTTTTTTCCCCTTTGAATGGGCTATATTTTCCTGTTTATTTGTGTGCCTTGTAATTTTTTGTTGAAAATACTTGACTCTGATAATGCAGTAACTCTGGAAATCAGATTTTCCTTCCTCCCCAGGGTTTGCTTCTTGTCTTATTTTATTTTTTATTGTGGTAGGCTGTCTCCATACTAAGATCAGCCTGAGGTCTATTAGGTCTACTCAGGTCTTTTCCCAGCCTGCATCTTTACTTGGGTGTGTTTGGTCACTTTCTAATTTCTCCTGTAAATGCAGTTGCTTTGGTATATCTCAGCCTTTAATATCTGGTTTTCAAAAGAGGAGAAAAAAAATAAAGAGAAAAAAGAGACACTGACCCTTTAAATCTCCTGAAGTCATTTTATCTGGGGTGGGAAGCAGTTCATGTGCAAAAATGCTTGCCTCTGTGTTTGCACCTCCATAATCAGAAGCAGTAATTGGTGGATGCAGTGCATTTACACAATGGAATACTATGCAGCTATAAAAAAGAAGGAACTCTTACTCTTTGTGACAGCATGGATGGACTGGAGAATATTAAACTAAGTGAAATAAGCCAGCCAAAGAGAGACAAATATCATATGATCTCAGTCATATGTGGAATCTACATGTTTATGAACAACATAAACTGACAAACAAAATAAAACCAGAGACATGGATACATGGAACAGACTGAAAGTTCCCAAAGGGGAGAGGGATGGAGGGACCTGAAAGAGATTACCAAAGAATATATGCATAGTGTATGGATACAGACAACAATGTGGTGAAGGCTGGAGTAGGGGCTAAGAGGGGTGCAAAGTAGAGGAAAATGGGGGACATCTGTAATAGTGTCAACAGTGAAAATCCTCAACAGATCTTTGATATTTGGAGCCCTAAGGTTCTTATTACCCTGGTTTCCACAAGCTGTCAACAAGTTGCTACTGCCACTTGTGCACTGCCTGTTGCAGTTTTGCATGTGGAGGCTGGTAGTTACTACTGAGCCAACAGATGAAATTAACCTAAATCAACAGCAGTTTATGCATTAAGCCTTCACTTAGACATCTTCAAAAGACTCACGAGTTCCAAAATAGTTGCATCAGACAGACGCTGCCAGTGCAATTGTTGTCTTCTTGGGGAGACATGTTCCTGGTACTTCCTACTCCACCATCTTTCCAGAATCCTCCTTCTGTAGTTGATTTTTTAGTGTAATATTTTTATGCCTCGTAATCTACAATACTTTATCATGTATACAACGGCCATTTCTTAACATTAAAAAAATTCTAGTGTCCTTGTAGCTTATTCCTATGGCAATATCACTGTTCTATTTATTAAAGCTTTATAATACATCTTGATATCTGCTAGGCATATCTACTTGCCAGGTTTTTCTCTACAGGAGTGTTGTGTCTGTTCCTATTATTTTGCATATCCACACACATTTTAAAATCAAGTTGTTATATTTCACAGAAAATCCTGATGACATTTTATTGGAATTACATTGAAGAAATAGATCAACTTGTGTTGAACTGACATTTTTACTATATTGTATATTCTTATTCATAATTTCTTTAATACCATTTGATAAAGTTTAGTCATTTTTTAATAAGTGTGTTGCCCTTCCTTGTTAGACTTATTTTTAGGCATCATCAGTATTTTTTGTTATTTTATACGGTATCTTTCTAATCACATGTTCTTAAAGTTTATTCCTTGATTTTAGCAATTGAATTGATTTTTACATTGATCTCCTATCCAGCAACTTTGCTGACAGTGTTTCTTAATTGCAACAATTTTTTTTGTGCAGTGTTTTTGTTGTTCAGTATAATCAGTTGCATCAGTGGCAAATAATGCTTGTTTTGTTTCTTTTCAATGCTTAATCTTTCATTACTTTTTTTGATCTTACTGCTCTATTAACTATTGACTTTAGTACAGTGTTGATTAAAGGAGGTGAGAGTGGACAACTTTATCTTATTTGTAATTTTTAAGAAGATATTTCTGGTATTTTACCCTTGAGTATGATATTTATTGTAATTTTTGAAAGATATTCTTTAGTGAATGAGTAAGGGGATTCCCTCTCTGTGGCTTACAAAGAAGAAGGCAGATGGTTATATAATATATGGTATTTTCCTTTTTTTCCTGATAATGTGGTGAATTTAAACTCAACTTAGCTATGAGCATTCTTACACCCTGTTAAATTTAGTATGTTGATATTTTGTTTGATACTGTTTCAAGTATAATAATAAGCCATATTGATCTACAAATTTTTCTTCTTGTTCTGTTTTTGTCTAGTTTTGGCATATGTTCTCAAATGAATTGAGAAATGCTTCTTTTTACCTACTGTCTGGAAAATTCTTTTAAGTTTGAAATTATCTGTATTCTAAATGCTGATAAAACTTACCTGTTAAATCTTCTAGACCTGTTTTTATTTTCTTTGTGAAAAATTTTGATTACTAATTTTGTTTATTGAAATGAGACTATTCTCAGTCTCTAACTTAAATTTAATTTAATACAACACTATGCATTGTTATTTTTTGGTTTATATTTCTGTTTCACTTTTACCATCTCACTAATTACATCTTAAGATGAATAAACATGATTTTCTACCCAAGAGAAAAGGTATAAAAAGTATAAACCATTTTTAAAATTTGAACTTAGGTATATTTTAGTGTTTACCAAATATCAGTTTTATATTTTGCCAAACATTTTTCATCCTGTAAAATTAAAATCTTCATTTTCTTATACTTTATTCTTTTTCCCTCTTTATTAACAGTACCATTCTTTGATAATCAATGATAATTGGTACTCATAAATGACAACTGCAAAGCATTGAAACCCTTCAAAGCATACCTTAAAGTATTAAGACTGATTAAATAGAGTGAGTTAATATTAACTGCTACCACATCAGTTTATGATATTTATGTAGTAGATATTTATTCACTTATTAAAAATTATTTATCAAATTAAGTCTTTTTCTATCCATACTTGAAACTAAAGGTTAACAAAGCTAAAATCTAAAACCTGTTCGAGATGTGCTTTCTTCAAGAAATTCAAAAGAACAAACACCTGAACTCAGGGTGTGGGAAGGTTGCGGGGAAGAAGGCCCAGAGTGCTAGTTTGGGGATTAGGAGACTTAGGGTCTAATCAAAATTCTACCCCTAATTATCTCTGAGACTGAGTAAATAAATTAACTTATCTCATTTACTTAAATCATAAATGAGGACACCGGATTTGGCAATCCTTGATCCGTATAGCTAAAATATTTTCAATAGTTCTAAAAGCACATCTTTAAAAATATATGCTCTTAACAGATATGAACTAGAAGTTCTAAAAATTGTGAAAACTGAAAAAATGTTCAACACGAAAATCCAAAGTAATAGGAAATTTATCCTGACTATGAAACTATTTACAGTTTGGAAACAATATTTCTGCTGACATGTCTAGTTTATTCAGTTACACAGTTTAAACAGTTTACCTAAATCTTCTCATTTCTCATGGTTTGCAGGATAAAAATAACTTTTTGTTTCTATTTTATCAGAATTATGTTTTATAATTACTTTATTATTTTTATTTTTCTAAATCATAGGGTGGCTTCACTCGTAAATATTCACTCAGCTCAAAAACTGGGACACTTCTTCCAGAATTCCCCAGTGCTCAACACCTTGTGTACCAAGGATGCATTTCTAAAGAAAAGGTATCAATTAAAGCTACTTCTCTATTGATTTTCTGATACGCGGGCTCCATATCTCACTTTGCCTGGAATCTCATGCGACTTGCAGGAAGCAGTCAGAAATCTGCATAACCAAACATAGTCAACTGATTTATAGGAGGGACAAATGTTTACTAACATTGATTGAACACTTTCCAATTAATTATTTACCATCTCCATGATAGTACATAGCCACAGAAATCGGTAAATAAACCTTATAAGACTAAAAACAATTTTTTATTTAAAACTCAATATCAAGGAAGAAAACAATAGAATGACTCTATCACATGTAGCATTTTTAGTCATACGCTTTTTTTTTTTTTGATTAACATTATATAATTTCTGTAAATAGTCATCAAGCGCTTCTCTAGGAAAGAATCTGTTCCTAGCACTAAGGGGAGGAACCTAGGTGAACACAAGGATGTACACTAGATGATTTCAAAGCTTCTTTTCAATTCTGAAATTCTTGCCTCTCTTCCATTTGCAATTTTTTTGAAAGTTAAGAAAGGAAAATTTTTCATAGTTTATAAATCATCCTCAATGTGATTTGTCAGTGTTTATATAATAAATGGATGGCTTAATTTCTGAACTTCTAGAGTCATTTTTGTTTACTACTAGCTGATTAATAGAAGGAGCCATTATTAAATCAGGGCATAATTTCTACATTCTTTTATTAACTAAAGTTAATTTTTCATTAACATTTGAGGAAAACACCTTGGAGAGCATTTTCTCAAGTCATATTTTTATGGTATAAAGATAGGGGAATATGATGAACAAATGTCCAGTTAGGTTACTTTAGAAATGGACTTTCTGTAAAAACCAGAAATAAAAATAACACATGAATAAGAAATCTACTGATAAATAAGGAGGAATGCACAGTAACTTCTGGGGTTCATTCTGTTAACAGACATGTTCTCCCAGTTAAGAATAGGCCAAGTATTGAAAGTTATTCTCAAATGTCAATTCTAGACACATTTCCTAAAGTATGTCCACTTCCTACTATTCTCTACCATCATAGTTATCAAGGTTATCACATCATTTTTTTTTACCTTAAAGACATAATGTGTGATATGATTTCAGATACGTCCAGTAAATGTTAACAGGCAGTTTGTGGGGGAACCTGCAGAAAACACTGACACCTCAGAGAGCATAGTTCTTGGTGGGTGGGGGGGGCACGGGTAAATACCTTTGTGGAGAGCATTGCTTACTTGGAAACATATTATAAAAATATTTACTGTGTAAATATACCTATTGAGAGAGAGGGGGCACAGAGAGAGCAACAGAATAATAAAGAGAAGTAATGAACATGTTCCAATAGTTTCAGTTTCTCTGCTAGCCTCCAAGGAATTCCTTATCTGTCAACTTGAAAAACTGGTTTGTAGATCATTTCTCATTCAAGTAGCAAGGTGCTTATATAACCCCTGGTTTCTAAGTTCATTTTCTTTGGTCTCCATCATGAGCACCAGGGGCTAACAGTCACTTTGTCCCTTCAGGGCCCTGGGCCTTGCCCTTCACTGTCTCGGCCTGTAGCCATGTTCCCCAGATAACTTTGCAGTTTCTAGAAGGGAGGATGGAGCTGAAGTTAAGCCTCTGCTTTCTTCAGGCAGAAAGGATGGAGATTGCCCAGTGAGAAGCTGACTCCAATGAGGGGTGTTAGCTGAAACGGAGGGACCTGATTTCTGCCTCATCACACTGTCACTCCAGGCAGTTGCCACCCCATCACATGCCCCCTGACCTAACTGGAGATGAGCCTTGCCCCTGCCTCTGCCTTTATAATATGATGTCTATTCCCAGAAAATGGAGCAAAATTATGTTTATAAAGAATGCAAAGTACAATGAAAATTTACTTTGTAAAATTTCCTATGTAAAAAAATTTACTATGTAAATAGAAAATAAACAAATGAAGTACTAATAGTAAGATTTAAAAATTTTGATGATTTGTATATAAAAGAATAAATATTGACACAAATAAATGAAAATACTTCTGAAGATAAAAACTTACGTGTACTTTGAATAGGTTTTAGGGTTCAAAGGGTTAATTTTTTACTTCAGTTATGAATTCTTTTCTATCTTTCATGCTGACTCATCTAAAAATAAAACATGATCACCGAAGTGCCAAGCTCATCTCAATTGCATTAGTTGTGACATATCTGGCTTGAGGTGTCCTGTAGTCAGCATACCTCCTTGGATGAATTTGCGTGTCATCGTTATACAGTTTGAGCTAAACCCCCAAGATGTGCGCTGTTACTGGGCTGCAGGGATAAAGGTTAGAGAGCAAGGGATTAGGTAGGAAATTCTCCCCATCAAGGTCACCACCCTAGGTGATATCAGATAAAAATAGTTAATAGTCCATTTCTTAATGTATATTATGGATTAATCCAACCACTTTACATGTGTTAAATCACTTAGTCCTCATGACGGTCCTATTAAATTGTCATTGTTATAATCTCCATTTTACAGATGAGAAAATTAAAACATGCTTAGAGTATGTTAAGTAGATTGCCCAACGTCACATAGCTAGTAAGCGGCAGATTAGAACTGACATTCAAATCCAGGTAGTCTGTGGGCAAAGTTCACACCTTTAACCTCTAAGACGTTCTCCTGTTCACATAAACCACACAACTGGTAACAGGTGGTAGGGACATTTCTAGCTTATAAAATAATTTTGAATTGGAATATTGGTAAATTGCTAGAGAATATTATCTAGTTCTAATCCATTCCAAATTTTAGAATACGTTTAAAACTTTATGCAATACAAATATCTGTGGTAATATGCCGTAATAGACACTCAATGCCCAAAGTTTTGAGGGGTAAAGGAGTCATTTGATATTATTACTAATTTTAGGTAATATTTAGTAAAGTGTTACTGTGTACCAAACTTTATGTGCATTATGCCTTATTTAATCTTAACATCATGTATGTAATATATTATTACTATTCTACATAAAGACAAAAAGCCTGAAGTTCTATGACTGAGAAACATGTACTGCAAAGTAACACTTGGTAAAAAGTGCAATGGAGCCCTGATGAGTGTGGCTTACTTAATTGGGTGTCATCCCACCAAGCAAAAGGTCGCTGGTTCGATTCCTGGTCAGGGCACATGCCTGGGTGGTGGATTAGATCTCTGGTCGGGGCACATTCGAGAGGCAACTGATGATGTTTTTCTCTCACATCGATATTTCTCTCCCTCTCTTTCTCCCTCCCTTCTTCTCTAAAAATAAATAAATAAATAAATTCTTGTTTTTAAAAAAGAAATGCACTGGAGCTGGGCTTTCAAGTTAAACTGTCTGAATCTAGAACCAAAACTGGAAACCACTACACCACACTGCCCAAGCACCCACTTAATAAAACTTAAAGTTGAAGAGTTGGTGCATTTTACACTTCTCCAATCAAAGGTAATTTTCTTAGTAAGCAGAAAAATCACAGTGTCGCTTTGACCTACATGTCCCTGCTCGATCACCTTTCTCATTGTTTTATGATACTGTACTTTAATTACATAGTGCTTGCCTTCCTCCCTTCTCATTGCAGTAAGCTCCTTGAAATAAGGCTTTTCCCTTTATTTTTAATTCCTCAGCATTGAGCACAATGCCGGGTACATGACAGGAGCTTAATAAGTGTGTGTTGAATGCATGAACAAATGAAAGCAGTGTTGAAAAGATGCTGTGGTTAAGTTTTTTCTTCCCTAAAATAGGTTGATACCCTCATAATGATGTACAAAACTCACTGCCAGTGCATCTTGGACAATGCAATTAATGGAAACTTTGAAGAGGTAAGAGTGACAGAATACTCTCTTGGCCTGTTCTTTATATGAGGTGAAGAAAAAAATCTTAATGTACATAATCTTTGCTCTGCCACTAGATCCAGCATTTCTTATTACACTTTTGGCAAGGGATGCCTGATCATCTTTTACCCCTGCTTGAAAACCCTGTTATCATTGACATTTTCTGTGTTTGTGACTCAATTCTTTATAAGGTAAGTTCTTTGGGCTCTCTTAAACATAAACTATATATTCCTTTTAAGAGCATTCTATCTAAATTTTTGCAATGTATTTTCAATAAATTTGTTATTTCAGGGTGGGGAACCACCATTAATTATTTTTTTCTTAACGGGAAAGCAGCAGTTTAATAATGTATGGTTAATAGTGTAGGTATTTTAATGTAAATTTACATTAAGTAAATCAAAATCAATTTTTGTTTATAGCTAAGAATAATTCTAAATGTGACATGTTAATACATGAACACAGTTAATTTTTATTAACTCTTCAGTGTGTTTTCAGACTTAATAACACAATGGTTTTTTTTACAACATTACTGTCTTGGGAAGAAGCAAACTTAATCACTCTCACAGGATTAATAACTTCAAAATCTCTAGCTTTAATATGTAATGTCATTTCTGTTCTCAAACCAAGTAAGAGTCCCCAGATGTCTACAGGAGAATCACCAAGACATCGTGAACAGCTGGTTGGCCTTCTAGCCAAACATTTAGCAGGAACGGGGAGAGGTTAGTTCCCCGGCAGTCAGTCCACTAGTTAGAGGGAGAACTAGCCTCTATTGTTTTCTCCCTTGGCTGAACAATGTTCAAGCCGAGGGAGGAAACTATAAATTGAAATCTGGGTACTTTAAAGTGATTTTGTCTACATTTACCTGTTAAATTGTCATAAGATACAAAAAAAGCTTTCCTTTGGGGATTGGCTTGCAGAGAAAAGAGGGTGGGGGCTGGGTGGAGGTAGGGAAAGGCAGAAAAAGCAGGAACAACTGTAAGCATAAAAAATGAAAATAAAAATTTAAAAATAATTTTAAAAATTGAAAAACTGTCTGAATTAGCAAGAAAACACAAGCCAGCACTTTGTTACGCATTAAGGAAATGAAATCCTTCTACATTAGTTGCAAAGAAATGAAGCAGAAGCTAAATAGAGTCAGTCTAGAAAGAACATGGCAGACCCAGTGTCAGGTGGGCTTGAGGCTGAGTGCGGGAGTCAGTATTTTCATCCTCTGTTCAGCTTTCCCTCGTCACAGGGTGAGAGAATGGGGGCGTGAATCCAGGAAATTCTCTGCCTTAGATTCAAGGAAAAGAGCGACAGAGGAGAGAGAGAGGATTGCCTCATTTTGGGGGATTGAATAAAAATACAATTATTTAGAGGGAAAAGATTTAGTTTGCACTGTCTTGTTGTCTGCAATATTTAAGACTCAAGAGAGCAACCAGGACAGTGAAGCAGGCGGCTCCAAGAGCGGCTCTAACAAAGGACCCGGAGCTCAGGCGCACACACCGCTGCCATCAAGACAGAGCTGCTTCGGCTGTCATTCAGTGCCTCCACAAATACCCGTTAAGCTTCTCTTCTCCCCTCAAATGTTCTGTTTCTTTGAGTTCAACACAAAACCCCCGAGTTTAAGTACCTTTAAATAAAGAAAGTTTCTCTTCTTCACAGAGGACTCAGAGAGGCACGGTGAGCACTGTAAATGGAGCCATATAAGATGAGCTTCTGCCAGATCTTCAGCCCCCTTCAGAGAGTGGTCCCAGCTTTCAGTCCCTAAAACAGTACATAATTACTAGGCCAACCCATTAGTAACTAACACACCAAGCATAGACAATGCTGTCTCTTGTTTTACTGTCTCATACACATGGAATATGCATGTTCTTTGCTGAGAGGCTACGCAGGCCCTTGTAGGTTATTGTCTACCCACATTCTGAAATACCTTCACCTGTAAACTTCTTGGTCGTCTTCTCCAGGCTGGCCCGCTAGATTGATTAGCCAGTCTACTGGATCTGCGATGCTCCTACCTTATCTGTTTCCCAACCTCTTTTATACATCACAGTTTTTCCTGAGCCGGAATCGGTCAGCACTGTTTAATTTCTTCTGTGTCCTACTTTTCATCTCACCTGTTTTTGGGGCTCAGTCTAGCCCTTTCTTTTCAAGTAATCTTTCTGTTCTTATAAATTATCTCTCTGTACCCAGTAGGTTAGTGTCACCTGCTTAACCTAGTAATTGCAATGCTTTTAGATCTCTGTCTCACCCTGCTTTTTACACACGCACACACACACAGCTCATACATACATTCACTTTAGAGAAAAAAAATATAACTCTCAGAAATGAGTTAACATGTTAGTCTCTTGGAAGCTAGAAATCAAAGTAATTGATAAAAAAGGTGTCTGTCTATAGAAATACTAAGTAACTATTAATGTTAACTCTTCTTTTGCTGTGATTAAGGTTCTCACAGATGTACTCATTCCTGCAACAATGCAAGAAATGCCTGAAAGGTAGGTTCAGTCAATAAAATGTGATAGTTTCTCAGTAGAGACTTTAACATTATATGCTATACTAAAGGAAAACATTAAATAGAAGTTCATTCATTTACCAAGATTAGTTTCTTTTAAATATCAATTTGCAGTCTTTAGATGTCTAATTTGTGCTCTGAATTAGGTACATGTCACGGCAGAGTAGCTGTGCTTACTTAGCAGCTGGCATGTGGCATGTGACTAACAGTGATAACAGTTGTTGTTTACTGAACATAACACAAGGATTTGAGACTTTGCATAAATTATTTTGCTTCGTTCCCATAATAAACCTGAAAGGAACTATGTATATATTTATCTCTTAATTTTACAAGTAACCCATGTTCATTGTGGAGAATGAAAAGCATGCATATATACATTTTAAAAAATAAAAAAATCACTCATAATCTCACTACATTCTTAATGTCTTTATTATTATCTCACGGACAGTTTTCTGGGAATAACTATAAATATGTACATTTTATAAAGTGAAATTATAGTATACATACTATGGCAGGATACTGTGAAAATATTTTCATATCAACAATATAGATTAACATTATCTCTTTAAATGGTTTCATAGTATCTGAAAAGCGCTATACTTTACTGAACCAATTCCTAATCAATTGGAGCTTTTTGAACACAATTCCTATTAGCTATTATGATCTTAAATTCACAAATGAGGAACCCAGGAGCATAAAGAAGTTAGTTTATTTATTATTTTCTGTTTATTTAAGTTATTTGCTTAGGTATTTATTTAGAGTCAGCTTATTAGTAAGAAGCTGTGACTATATTTTAATCAAAGCCTGTTTACTCCAAACTGCCTGCTCTTTTTCCTGTACCACATCTCTATCCTCAACTTACGCACTACCCCAAATATATTTAAACCTGTTTTATTGAACTATAAAAAGTACATAATTAACTGATTTTTAAAATTGTATTTGTTCTCATAGTATAAACACAACAAATATTTGCAATTTTAAAATAGCTTCTCTAATCGGCACATTTTTGATAATTTATCCCACACTTATTTTTGGAATATAAGAATATGTTACTAGAAATTAATATTAAATACCTGAAATTACATTACAGTTCCATTGTGATGGGCTCTCAAGAAGCCAGGATATGCAAAGTCAAGTGCACATTTACATTTTCCCAAAAATTTTTATAGAAAGTGATTAATCATGAGTTAATATTGATAATAATTATTTATTGAACACTGCATGTCAGGCTTTAACTTAAGCACTTCTCATGAATTATTTCATATACTCCTCATAATAATCTTGTTACATGGATACTATTCTTATTCCCATTTAACAGGTAAGGAAATTGGAGCCTTAGGAGATTGAGTATATTGAGCAAGATGATTAATGACAGACCTAGGCTGACTTCAAAAGTCATGCACTTGGAATCATACAATAATTGTGTACTTCCATCAAATTACATTTATGTAATGCATTTTGAACAATTTAGCATTTGACACATTGTAGTTTTTGTTTTTGGTAGCTTATTAGCAGACATAAGAAATTTTGCCAAAAATTGGGAACAGTGGGTTGTTTCATCTTTGGAAAACTTGCCAGAAGCTCTGACTGATAAGAAAATACCTATTGTGCGACGATTTGTATCTTCTCTGAAACGACAAACGTCTTTCTTACATCTTGCTCAGGTATGTTAGCAAGCCAAGTGTATTTGAATTACCCATTCAAAAAATGAACCTTCTTATGGCAAAGACTAAGGAACTTCCAGAGATTGGATACTAAGGATACAACAGTTAAATGCATCGTGATATCCTAAATAGAGAAAGGACATTAGTGGGAAAACCGATGAAATTAGAATTGTTTCTATAGCTTAGTGAATACTATCATACCAAGGTTAATTTTCTGATTTGAGAAATATGCAATGGTTATGTGAGATGATAATACTGGAAGAAGCAGGATAGAGATTATATGGAAATACAGTTGTGCCTTTGTATCCATGGGTTCAACAACAGTGGATACTGGGAACAGCTGTACTCTGCACTAACTCTGCAACTTTCTTATAAATTTAAAATTACTTCAGAATAAAAGTAAAAACACGATTCTGAGTACAATGTAAAATGTACAACTTTTATTTGCCACATGAATCCAAATAATAAAAATTAAGTTTGAAATAAATGAGCCCATGTGATACTTAATGTTTTGAAACCCACAAAACCAACACATTTTAAAACTACTTTCTAATTTGGCTCTCTTAAAGAGAGAAGAAAAAAGTGATTTTTTTTTGCAGTATATTCTTTTTTGTTGAATTTACTGGGGTGACACTGGTTAACAAAATTATATAGGTTTCAGGTGCACAGTCCTACAACATATCATGTGTACAATGTAGCGTGTGTTCACCGTAGTGTGTGCTCACCACACCAAGTCCAGTCTTCGTCCATTACCATTTACCCTCTCTGTGCCCTCCTCCACCTCCACTGCCCCCCATTCCCTCTGCCTGTCACCACGCTGTTGTCTGGGTCCATGAGTTTTTCCTTTTTTTTCTTTTTTGCTCAATCCCTCCACCCCACCCTTAAATTAGACTACATGGTTGTATATTGTGAAATATACTTTCCCTCCCCTCAAGTGATCATTTGTCTTAGGAAGGTTTCTAGGTCCCTAAATTTTAAAAGACTAGCTTGGAATAATTCCAGATAAAAAACATAGTACTATAAAATACCTGTTTTATGACCACGAACTAAAAATTTCATTTTCTAAGTCCAAAAGAGTTTTCCAACTTTTAACAGAAATGCTCATGAGTCTCAGTCATTGTTTTTTAGTTTTAAAATAAGACAACATTGCCCTGACTGAAGTGGCTCATTTGGTTGGGCGTTGTTCTGCAAAGTGGAAGGTTGCTGGTTTGATTCCCAGTTGGAACACATGACTGGGTTGCAAGTTCGGTTCCTCGTTGGGGTGCATGCAAGAGACAGCCAATTGATGTTTCGCACAAAATGTTTCTTTCCATCTCTTTCACTCTCCCTCTCCCTGAAAATAAATAAATAAATAAAAACTTTAAAAAAAATGACTTTTCCCTGAAGTATTCTAGAAACTAACACTTTCTTTTAGATAGACTATCAATACTATATTTTAATGTTTTTAAAAACTTTTTCTATACAGATTGCCAGACCCGCTCTCTTTGACCAGCATGTCGTAAATTCTATGGTATCAGATATTGAAAAGGTTGACTTGAATAGCATTGGATCTCAGGCACTTCTCACCATTTCAGGCAGCACAGACACCGAATCTGATATCTACACTGAACGTAAGTCCTCTCTCTTTGTTTGAGCAGAGATTCCCAGCTTCAGCACTATTGACATCTTGGACTGGATGACTTTTTGTTGAGGACCGTCCTGTGCATTATGGGATGTTTATCAGCATCCCTGGCATCTATTCACTAGATGTCATTAGCAATTTCTCTTCAGTTGTGAGAACCCACAAATGTCTCCAAACATTGCCAAATGTTCTCCTCTTGGACTATAAATATCCTACCTGTTGAGAATCTTGGTTTATATAAACATCTTAAATTTCTGGAAAAAGTGTTCTCTGTTTAAAAAACTGTATTTACTCATTATGGAAAATATGGAAAATTTAAAAAATATTGGGAAGAATATAAGTAACCCATAATTATATTGCCTAGATATTACCAAAATAGAAATAACCTAAGAATAATCAAAATAGTCTTGAGTTTTGTTCATTTTCTTCCAGTTCTGCATTACAAGCATACATGTTTCCATGCGTTCAATGCTTTTGGCATCATATGGTGTATGATGCATATCAAAATGCTATCTCTGCACAATACCGTTTTTCAAAGCAAAAAATTCATGATCAGGTTTGAACCTCCTGAGAGCTTACCATTCCCATATGGGTGACTTGATAACCAGGCTCAGTTTCCAGAGGCTAACAACCCAATATTTCTCCCTTCTTTTCTCCCTGAGAAGACAAAAAAAATTGACTTTGTATAGGTTATAGCACCAATAATAAATTGCTCTCTGGAGATGGTCCAACCTCAGCCCCATTTTCTGTTTCTTAATATAAAATTATATTACCCTTTGGGACTCAGTAAACCTTGAACTCTTTAATAAAATGATAATCTTAAATTGGCCCTTTAAATTTTACATGGTACAAGATTATTTATGTAAGCGGCTCAAATCTTCAGTGCAGAATTTAAGTTTTGTTAAAAATAAAGAATATTTCATAAAGCAGGAAATCAATAACCATAGGTCATCCTTTAGCTTTCAACTAAGTCATTCCATTTAATGAAAACATTAGATTCAAAAATGGTAATCAACTATATTTACAACTTACTCTTCCCTTGTATAATATACTTAAATAATATCAAAAGCTATATTTCAATATATACCAAGATACACTTACGATTAAAATTTTGAAGAGTAAGGTATCAAGAACATTTTTTATTACCGCTCTCAGGATATGAAATAAATTCCTTTAACACATTTAACTCAAACTACCTGTCTTTCCTTTTTTGTATAATATTATTAATGATTCCTAGTTTTAAGTTTCTTCTTGGTTTCAAAGTAGAGTGCAACATTCTGCTTTTTTTCTTTTACATATGGTAGATGACTCTATCACAGTGTTCCAAGAACTGAAAGACCTCCTTAAGAAGAACGCCACCGTGGAGGCTTTTATTGAATGGCTGGATACTGTGGTAGAGCAGAGAGTTATTAAGGTACTTTTCAATGACAGACTCATTACCTTGTTTTGTTAATAATAAAGGCTAAACTGGTTGTAATTTCTTACTGCTGGGGGCGGGTGACAGGCTGTATATAAAAATGCCTGGAGGAGCTTTGAAGCCCTACAAATAAGGCAGCCCAAATACCAAAAGGAGGAATGTGCCAGACCTGAGAGCACGGACGCCGATTCAATTCTATTTATCCTTTCTTGTCAAAGGACTGCAAGACAGGCACGACAGTAGCCCCTGTTATCTACAGTTTCACTTTTCATGGTTTCAATTACGTCCACACAATAGCAGTCTGAAAATATTAATGGAAAATTCCAGAAATAAGAAATTCACAGGTTTTAAATTCTGCACTGAGTAATGTGAAGATATCTGACACCATCCTATTCCACCACGGCAGGACGTGACTCTTCTGATTGTCCAATGAATCCATGTTGTACACGCTCCCTGACCCTAGTCACTCAGTAGTGGACTGTGTGGTATCAGATTGACTGTTTGGTATCACAGAGTTTGTGTTCAAGTCACCCTTATTTTACTTAATAATGACCCCAAAGTGCAAGAGTAGTGATGCTGACAATTCAGATATGCCAAAGGGAAGCTGTAAAGTGCTTCCTTTAAGTGAAAAGCTAAATACAAAGCAGTAAGATTTTTTGAGAGAGAGAAAAGGAGAGAAGGGAAGAGAGAGAAAAAGGAACCACATTCACATAACTTATTACAGTTTATTGTTTATAATTGTTCTATTTTATTGTTGTTAATCTCTTACTGGGTTTAATTTATAAATTAAAATTTCTCATAGGTATACATGTGTAGGAAAAAACATAGTATATATGAGATTTGATATTAACTGCAGTTTCAATCACCCACTGTGGATCTTTGAATGTATCCTCCCTGGATAAGTGGGGGCTACTGTGCACCTTCCCTATCAGTCAATAAAGTTACAGTTGAATAACATCAGTAGTGAAAGATAAATGTAGAAACTGGAAAGACTCTAGCCCTTTTATAAAAAGTAAGTTTCCATAAATGCTGGCAGAAAATATGATTTTAAGTATTTACATTTTTTTAATTCAAAGAGCTCTGTATTTTGTGTTTTCTCTGTGGTTTCTTCAACTCTTTCAGTTAACCTTCAAGTCATCCATCATGAAACAAGACAATAAGAACAAATATATCCATCACTAGTTGGTGTTAGCCATTCCATATCAAGGAAACTAGATGTAGTGTGGGGATTTTTTTTCCTCCTAGAAGGAAAACAGATTATCATTCAGGACCAGAGAAGTCAGAGTTAATCATTCACAGAAATATATAACCTTTCCTTCACACTTTACCTTCTGTTTTGTCAAAATAAAATTAAGAGATAAAATATTTTGTAAATTATTTCATTTTGTTGTTCAGTTCTATTAGGTAACAAAACCATACAGAATAAAGATCTGTAAACCTTAAAAATGACAGTAAAGACAGACTAAAATCAAAATCCCTGGACAGATCATCTTATTCAATGGAACAAATGGCAGGCCCTGCCATCTGTCCAGTTGTCGGACATTACCTACCCCCTGGTCTTGTGTAAGATGCATGTAGTAATGAGATGACAGATTTTTATAGTTCCATTTCATCCTTTTACTTTTTTTACTTTTTAGACCAGCAAACAAAATGGAAAATCATTAAAGAAGAGAGCTCAAGACTTTCTGCTGAAGTGGAGCTTTTTTGGTGCTCGAGTAATGCATAATCTCACCTTGAACAATGCATCCAGTTTTGGTATCATATGTGCTTTATGAAACTCTTCTTAAATGAGTTACGTCATTTGTCCCCCAGTCACATTTTCCATCAATTTTCAAACATGTGGCATTGTCATTTGTCAAACCATATCTGAATCTTGAGCAGTAGAGACTAGTACTTATACACCTGGGTTTTAGAGTCAGATCACAAGCAGAGTTCAAGTCTAACATCTCCCTCTGACTTAGGCTTTGCCCAGGCTCTCTGCTCATCATAGAAAGAGGAGAATATTACTTTCATTGAGTTTCGTAGGCGCTTAAGTGAATATATATCTCCTAGGACCTGGTAAAGAATAACTAATAGCTATTATCATTATATTCCATCAGTGCTTGGATAATTAAACAAACAAATAAACGATTATGATACCTTATTTTCCAAAGGCATTACTCATTGTGATACAGCAAATTTTTGCATCTTTTTTGGAAACCCACATAGCTGCATTTCAGGAGTTAAAGAGCAGCTTAGAAGACATGCTCTCTTGTTTCTGAACCATCTTTCTTGCTATGTGACTTGTGAATCAAATTGAGTCAAATTAGCTTTTTCAAAAACTAAATACCTTCTTTTTCCTAAAAACATTTTCTGAGATTCTTAGTTTATTGTTATAAAGCTATCTCATGGACAGTACTTCTGCATTTAATAGTTGCATTTTGAGAAATCTTCACATTATAAAATAGGTTACAATTAATTAAGTTGTTTTTATTTAATTTTCAATGGAATTAAATAAAATCAGTTAACTTGTATTGAGGGATGAACAAAATGTATTGAGTCTATTATTTGAATTCTCCTGCTTAAATTTGAGGTTTTTAAAAAATATACAACATTGAAGCCTGGCTTTATTCCATGAAAAGAAAAAAAGACTTTTGTTGAAAAATCTATTAAGAAGTTAAAGAAGGTTAAGGTTTTCCAGAACACTTCTACATGAAATTACTCTTTTGCTTCCCCCCGCCCCCCCGCAAATCAAAGAGTATTTTGTTTCAGGCTGTAAAGACGTCTTCTCACTTGATACTTTTTCTAGACCATGTTGGCCATTGTCTAATTATTTAGTACAAAGTAAACAGAAATAGAGTAGAATAGAGCTTATTCTCCCCAGGTTAAAGCTTATCACACTTCAATGTGTGCCCTCTTAAAGCATAAAGCATGTCTCACTTTCATCCGTATTTTCCTTTGATGTAATTAGTCGCCAAAGAGCTGGCAGGACAGTACACACAGTGAGTTGGGCAGGCAGTACACAGAGAGATTAGAGACCTAGGTTAAGCATGTTGGTCTTAGCAGGTCATTTAAAGTCCAACAAGTATTTGTTTATTTCAGTCGCTCCTTGTAAAGTATTGCGAGATGGTCACCGAGATAACTTGACTCCTCTCTCTCTTTCCTTCTCTTTCTCCCCTTTATTTCATCTCACAATGCCCTCTACCCATTCCCCATCGATAAACAAGGTTCTTTCCATTTGATCCGAATGCTCCTGGATGAATACATTCTCCTGGCCATGGAGACCCAGTTTAATAATGACAAAGAACAGGAGTTACAGAATTTATTGGACAAGTATATGAAAAATTCAGGTAATTTAAAATGTATATCTTGTTTTGAATATTTCAAGGATTTATAAGCATACATATTAAGTGAGTTTATAACAGTCTTAGAGTTTACCCCATGCATGTCACTGCTAACATGGTATACTAACACTAATGGGGCACTCTTTTTTTTCTTTTCTATGTATTACTCTTTTCTATAGAGTATTCAAAGTACTTACCTGGAAACTCTGAAAGATACAAAATCAATGTTCTTAACTTTTGAGAATTTAGGCAAAATTGAAGAGGTGACTGTAATCCAAAAAATATCTGTAATTCAAGACAACACATGTAGTATACCACCTTATAAATGGTGTAGAAATAAGTTCTCTAGTAGTTTAGAGAGGGAAGAGAACACGCCTCCATGGGATGTGATGGTTTGCGTTTTGAAGACTGTTCATGCCAGGGTGGATTATTTTTAGTGCTTCTCAGGATGCACCTTTACTCACAAGTGTACAGTTAACTAAAATCAGCACCGCAGCCAAGAGCAAAGGGCTGCCAGCTTGTTTCCCATGGGAATCAATTATCACGAGTTTCCAGATTTCTCATACAACACTAAAATATTTTCAGTTTCTTTCACTTGGGTTCCTCTACTAGGAATATGGGAATGATGTTAACTTTCCCATTAAAAAAAAAAATCCTTCCAGATGCAAGTAAAGCTGCCTTCACTGCTTCTCCAAGTTCATGCTTTCTGGCAAACCGTAATAAGGCGAGCACTGTTTCCAGTGACACTGTGAAGAATGAAAGCCATGTGGAAACACCGTATCTTCCTCTGTCATCCAGTCAGCCTGGAGGTTTAACCTCTGCCCTGCACCCGTTCACTGCTGGGAATACAGACAACATGCCACTCACAGGTATGCTGAGGACTAGCCAATAAAACCATTTAGGCTTCAGTATGTATCACAGGAATGTCTTCTTTAGTCTTCTTAAAATTGGTAACCTCCAGGCATTCTAAGAGTAAAAAAGGCTTATCTTAACTGACTTATAATAACAGTTTATACATTTTTTATGATTTTCAGCATTTGTTATTCAAACTTTTAGCAATACCATTGTTAACAAAGGTATCATACTCTGGCACACTCTCTTAGTTATATCAGAAGTGCAAATAGTTAGATATCTTCATTGGTTGAAGAAAAATCAGATTAGGTGTGCCTAGAACCCAAAAGGGCTGCAATTTATTTTTGGCTTTTGAGGAGACCTCTTTATCTTTTATTAAAAAGTGGATTCAGCCATTTTAGTGTGATCGTTGTAATTTTCCTCTTTGGTTGGGGATCCTCTTTGTGTCAGTCTGAATATTTAGTGGCTTGAACTAGCTACTAGATAATTTCTTCAGTCTGCTTATTGTTTTATATTTTTTTGAAATCCTTTTACATATATTATTTCATTGGACACATAGAATTTTAAACCCAGGAGAGCCTCATAGTTCAAGGCCTTCATTTGACCCATGGGAAGGAAGTTGGAGGCTCAGGGAGTTGGCGGCTTCCATGACTTGTGGCTCGTCAGTGGTGTTTGCATGATGTTTTGAGTTGGCTGCTTTAAAATCATGGTCCTCCTGACTTTATTGCCCTTTTTTTTAACTTTACAAATCAAGCCAGGTACATTCAGTTTGTTTTTTAATTATAGAGAAATGAGAATAGCAGATCCATTCGTTCTTCCCAAGCTTGAGCTCTAACCATCTCTCTACCTGTGGGAGTATGAAGCCATCTTAGACTTTCTTCCACAGTCGCTAACTCCAAAAGTCTCCACTGCTGTGAAATGTACATGTATTATGATTGTGTTTTTTAAATCTAAATTTTTTGGTGTTCCCCAGTTTTGTGGTTTTTGGATAATAGGAATGACTCAAGTTAGAAAAAGGTATAATAAATTTTTTGACTAATTTTTAATGAAGTGGCCCATCTATTCTAATATGCTACTAGTGAATGCTCTGGTAAATTTTTTCTCCAGGTCAAATGGAGCTTTCCCAGAGTGCTGGTCATCTGATGACACCACCCATTTCTCCAGCCATGGCGAGTCGAGGAAGTGTCATTAACCAGGGTCCAATGGCAGGGAGACCCCCGAGTGTGGGTCCGGTACTGTCAGCACCGCCACACTGCTCAACATACCCAGAGCCCATTTATCCTACTCTTCCTCAAGGCAACCATGACTTTTATGGGACCAACGCTAACTATCAGACTGTGTTTAGGGCACAACCTCACCCTGCTTCAGGACTCTATCATCGCTCTGAGCATGGTCGATGCGTGGCCTGGAGTGAACAGCAGCTTTCTAGAGACTTTTTCAGTGGCAGCTGCGCCGGGTCTCCATATAACTCTCGGCCGCCTTCCAGCTATGGACCATCCCCACACAGTCAAGATGCACACAGTATGCAGTTTTTAAATACAGGAAACTTCAATTTCCTGGGCAACGCAGGGACTGCCAGCTGCCAAGGAGCAACGTTGCCTCCTAATTCACCCAATGGTATGAAAAATTTTGAAGAATTTTCCTGGCTTTTGAGTTGGTGATAGAACAAATCAGACATGGGGTTCCACCTCTGCTGAGTAGCATGTCATCCCGTGTAAACTTTCTGAAGATCATGGAATCTTGGTATTTGGGGCTCATTTCTGCTGCATACAAACATATCCCTAATTCTGTGGTTTTGTTAAAGTTGTCCTTTCATATGCCATGTGTGATGAAAAAACTCTTATGTCAAACCATATGTTTGAGACCAACCTTAATAGCCCCCCCCCAAAGAATGTTCTATCCTTCACAAATATTTTTAGTGAATAATTTTTTTTCCAGAGATTTAACAGCAGATCTTAAAGATTAGGACCAAAACTATACCCCCTGTTAGGCTGATAAAACACTGGAAGTTAAGGAGTTAGGAAGATCTGTGGACTTCAGCCACCAAATTAGTCTCTATGTATAGGCTGTGCTGATGCTTCCCTCCTAAGTGTAAGTCAGTCCTTCTTTCAGAAACATGAATCTGTAAATAAAATTGGTATTTGACAAGTAGGGTAATCTTTGTGAGAGGTGAACGGTGCTTTTTTCCCATTCATAGGAAGATCTTGGCAATTTAGATGAAGGAAATTGAATTAGAGAGATATAGTCTTATATCTCAAAATTAATAACAGCATAACTCATGTATATTTAAAAAAAAACAAAAAACCAACACAATGAACCATTCCATACATAGGTAGAAATCCAACTCCATAGTAAATGTAGATGTAAATGTAATATTTACAGTATGATATCTTAAGGCTCTACCCTATCATCTTGTCCCTTTTCATCTTCCTGAAGATATTCTTTGGAAGATAAAAGAGTTATTCTTTGAATAACTCTTCCAAAGAATAGATAATTTATTCTTTGGAAGATAACTTATTACAAAGAATATGTACCTGAAATATTCTTTGTAGTAAGTTAACAGCCCATTTTTGGCATTTTCTATTGCAGGATACTATGGAAGCAACATAAACTACTCAGAGTCTCATAGACTTGGATCGATGGTGAACCAACATGTTTCTGTCATCAGCAGTGTTCGCTCACTGCCTCCCTACAGTGACATCCATGATCCACTCAACATTTTAGATGACAGTAGTAGAAAGCAGACCAGCTCGTTTTATGCAGACACAACACCTTCAGTTGCTTGTCGAACTCCAGTAGTAGGTAAATTATTTTACCTTATTATTTTAGTAGTTCTTGAAAACATTTAAAAAAGTTGTTAACCTCAGGAATGTAGTATTGCTTTGGAGGGTGACTGTTGAGATGGACTGGCCACTCATGTACCTTCAGTTGGTTTATCACTTTGGATCTAATGTTATATTTTTGTACCTGTAAGTAACAGTTTACCATTTTTTTCAGAATGTATATCACTACTGCTAAAATCTACTGCTAGATCTGTTATTCTTTCCAAAAAGAATAGCTGACATCTGTTATGTATGCAGAAATGAATATAACCTGTCAAAGGCAATCTAAAAAGCTGTGGATTTTATGAGAGCAATAATGATTTCTCTCCCGTCTTGTTCACGGATGGACCCAGGGGAAGAACCAACAGATATCTTTGGACCCGTAATCTCCATCACTACCTTAAAGCCATTCCAAGTTTTAAAAAATCAGTGACTTGTGGTCATGGTTACTATCATTTTCTCAACTGTATGTAAAATGTGATTAGATCCCTCTGTAGAAAATGTTGCCATTTTTATTGTTCTATAACATACAGTTTAAGTAAAAATGAGCAAAACCGTGCATTTGCTATGAGGTCCCATAGCATCTTCTTCCACCCAGTTTGCTGTACCTAAGAAAACCCTGCAACGTGAACTAGATATGTCACCGGCACCCAGCAAAGTGTCTGCCACATAGTAGAAACTCAAGAAATCAAAGTTGAAAAGGGGAAAAGTATACATAGAAATTTAAAATTTCTTCTAAAATTACTAATAAGGTATCACAGGACAACTATATATCCATGTGAGTATCAAGGCAGAGTGTTAATGTTTATACGAGATGGAAACCTTCCAATGGAATTGATTCCATACTAGCATAAGGGCATTAACACCCAACTGCAGCATAAGGGAAAATGCGATAAATTCTATCTCTCCCCACTCAGTGTGCTTTTCTAATAATTCAATAGGAAGCACTTCTTCCCTTCCTGCTACCATCACAGATGCTCCCTGAGCAGAGTCTAGTAGCTCATCTCGTGCTATCTGCAGATGGTCATTGCTTCTAGGTTACTCTAATGAAGCAGAAAATTCCACTTCAGGAAGTTTCCTCACTGTGAGACTAAAATGTACTGTGTTGCTATTGTTACTATTAGTTCTGTTTACTTGTAGAGATAGTGTAAGCTTTGACAGAGCATAGCTTAGGTGTCAGATGGATTCAAAGCTTTAGTTGTCAGGCCTGGCTTACAAGTAAATTGCCCACGAGGCTTCCAGGTGAGAACAGGGAATAGAATAAGAGGGTAAGTTGCGTAAGGGGAGTTAGAACCCACCCTATGTCTCCTGAGTTATAAATCCTGGTTTTTGGTGGCAGAGAAGATGGCACTTAGAACAATAAAAAAAACAGCAATGATAAGGCAGCAACCATAAATGTGAGAAACGTAGTGTTAGTGAACCAATTAGTCTGATTTTTTTGAGAGCTTACTATGTGCCAAACTTCATTCTAGGTGTGGGGATATGGTAGGGACCAAGCCAGAGTTCCTGCCTGTAAGAAGTTTACATCTCAGTAAGGGAAGATAGAACGATGAATATACAAACAAATGCCTTGAAAAGATAATTTCAGGTACTCTGAAGTCAATTAAATAGCGTAAAATGACATATAGTAATGGAGGAACTGCTTCAAAGGTAGTTGGGAAGGGAAGCCTGAGGTGAAAACATTGGAGTTGAAAGCTAAGCGATAAGGAGGTAAATGACATGAAGATCTGATTCTGATTCTGGTAAGTGACATGAAAATCTGGTTCTAGGCAGAATAAACAGCAAGTGCATAGTCTCTGAATGGGAACGATACTGGAAAGCTGAACGTACAGAAAGAAGCCCAGTGTGCTTTGAGCATGGTGAATGAAGAGAAGAGTAGCCCAAATCAGAAGGTGGATAAATCACCCAGGGTGCTATGAACCAGGGCAAGGAGCCTGGATTTTGTTCTGAGTGATGGAGAGTCATTTTTAACATTGGAGCAAAGTGACAATCTGATGTACAATTCAGCAAGGTTATTCTGGCCCTACCAGCAAGATTATCCGGGCTCTATCTGCAGGGTGAGAGGGCGAGACAAAGGTGAGGGTCACGAGACCATGGAGGAAGTTGCTGTCCTGGTCCAGGTAAGAAGATGATGGTTTGGACTACAGCTGTCGGGGTGCAGATGGAAAGAGGAGGTGTATTGGGCACATCTTTTGGAGGTAGAGTTATGTGAATTTAAATTTAACATGGAGTTTTCATTGTGAGCTGTATAGAAGAAATAAACTCTGGAAGAAGAGCAGGGAGAAGGATGGAAGAAGAGGATGGCTTTGAGAAATCATGCACACTCAAATTTAGAACAGATATGTGTATTAAATGCAAAAATAAACATAGAGGCCTAAAGCGAGTGGCACTTGCAAAGATAATGTCACTTTTCAATCGCTAATTATGTTTTCCCTTACAGCATCCAGCTTGCAAGCCCCAATCCCTTCCTCCTCATCCCAGTGTATGTATGGAGCCTCCAGTCAGTATCCAGCTCAAGAAACCTTGGACTCCCATGGAGCCAACGGGAGAGACATGGTCTCCTCTTTACCACCCATCAACACTGTGTTCATGGGAACAGCAGCTGGAGGCACTTAAATCAGCAGTGTTGGGTGGGGGTTAAACTTTAAAAATCTCTACTGCTGACTATTATTCACTCAGACTCTGATCAGAGTAAAAATAATGGAATACGCAGTGTCAGGACACTGTTTTTCAAGTCACTGGGACGAAACGATGGACAACTCCCTATAGTAAGTGGAGATACTTGCAGAGTTGACCTGGCACACAAATTGTTTAAAATGTGATCTCATTATTAATCATAGTTTCAAATATTATCAGGAAGAACCACTGAAGCTTTGAAGATGCAAACATTTCAACTATGAAGATTTAATATTTCACTTCCTAATTTATTGAAAATCGATGTGCTGTTGTTTCATCTTTGGTTTCTAAAAAAAGAGAAAAGTTTATTTAATGCCTTTAAAATACCTTTAATTTATTAGGATCTCAGATTCATTGTTTACTATCCTTTATTTGACAAAAAGTCAAATGTGTATGTTCTACCTCCTATGGAAATGTTTACAAGGTCAAGACTTAATTCAACTTAGCTCAAACCAAAGTTGCTTGACTCTCAATTCCTGTGCATTAGTGTGGTGGCTTCTGTTACATAGTAGTATTCTAATTCTATGTAACTGAAAGTAGGTTATAAATGCTTTCCCACTTTATTTAAAAAAGATGAGAAATAAATGAAATAAACTATGGAAATATTTTTAAAGGTGTGGTTGCTCTCGGGGCTGGGACTGTTTCTGAAGATTACTGGGCAAATCTCCTTTGGATATCAAATCAAAGAATAAGGCTGGTCAGTCAAAAGATCATAATTCAAGAACATTTGCATATCAAATACACGCATATAAATATAAAGAAATTGTGACTTATAGAGTGTTTGACTTACACACATTTGTAAGCAGTCTTTAATTGAGGTCTTTGCTTATAAACTGAGATTGTAGGAGTTTTCAGGAAGCATTTGGAAGCAAAGACAAATTCAGAACTGAAGGATTTATTATATATCAATTAATACAATTTGATATACCACCTACCTATGTTTCCTTTTCATGTCTCTTAGCTGAGTGGTCTGTTATAGAACTCATGCCTATGGTGGGAAATTTCTGTTAACTTTACAAGTTTCTCCTACAGTCTTACGCCAGGCCTCAAATTAAATTTTATTAAGGTTTCGTTATACTATTAGCCCGGGGTACATTATGAAAGGATCCGTAAGCCCCGAATACTTGTTATACACCATGATGTAATTTGGTAAAGACAAACTTGCAGGATTGTTTTCAGCAACCAATAAGCAATTAATGTTGACTTGGAGTGTTGCTACCATGTGCCAGTCGTGTGCTCCACAGTATGTACTTTATAAACTAATTGAGCAGAAAAATTTTCCAGCAGTAACAAATCATGACAAATAGCAAGCTAAAGTTCCATTCTTCGTTATGATAATATTGTGAGAGTAAAAAGGAGAGTGAAATTAATAAGGACTTGGACTGAAGAAGAAAACAAAACAGCTTTAAGAAGTGTTTGGACTTAAGTCTTGAAAATTAAGAACTGTATTTCCATGGAATAGTAATTAAATATATATTCAGCATCTATTTTGTGTCAGACACATTGGAAAATACAAAGATGAAAATGAAACTACGAAGATGAAAAGGGCACTGTTTATACCTTTAGTAAGTTTTGATATGATGATAAAGGGGTGATGTGATAGGAAGTAGAAGCTCCCTGAAGACTTTTGAGTAGAAAAGCAATGTAGGGAGAGTGATGTTTAGGGAACATGGAGCAGCAGTTGGAGGGAGGAGGTGGACTGGGTAGGAGAGGACTTAGCCTGAGAATGGGCCACTTGGGGGCTGTTCCTCTCACCCAGAGTCCAGCAGGTAGGTGCAAAGGCCATGTGGAAGCAGAGTAAATGGGGAAGAAGAGAAAGAAGCATGATCCTCATTTCAAAGAATATATGAAGGATTGGAGACTTATTACATATGAGGAATTAAAAAAAAAAAGAGTATGTCAACAGTGGCTCTAAAGCTTTACCTAACCTTATTGGCAAAGCATTTCAGTGTAAATAGTTTACCCTATATTGATATTCCCTTTGTAGACGAGGGAAAATGATCTGGAGCAGGGGGAAGCTGAGAAGACAAGTGAGTGGTGTGTCTCTGGGTTTCATGTGCATTGGCTGATAACAGCCAATGATAACAGGGGGCTAAATTTTGGCAATTAAGAAGACCAACTTGCCCTTTTTTCCAGGCAATGAGACTTGGGCTTATCTCTATTAGATGTGTTAACAGTGTTTCTCAATGCAGGCACTACTGGCTTTCAGGCAGAGCAGTTCTTTGTTCCATAAGACTATTCTGCATATTGCACAAGATTTAGTATCCCTGGCCCACAAACACTAAAAGCACCCCACCACCTGTAGCCTTGTGAAGATCAAAATTATCTCCCATATTTCCAAACACCCCTGGAGAGGCAGTGCCACTCTTGTATGAATTAAAGGTGACAAGCACCTTTAATTTTACTTAGGAAGAGCAGAAGACATTCTTACCCCTCTCCCTTTGGCTACACTCATCGTTTAAGAATTGTTTCCTTCATAAATCTAAAACTTGGATGTTCAAGGCATTTTCTGCTCTTTTTAGTTTTCTCTAGATTAATTTTAATGTAGTTAAAGGATCTTGCCTAGTTTTTTAATGCTTCTGTTTTTTAAAAATAAACCTGTTCAAGCTAATGCTTATATGAAATACAAAATTAAGATTAGAAGTAAAAATGTTAGATTCATAACTCAATTCTTAGGGTAATATTTCAAATGTTATAGTGGTTACTATAGATAAAAGAAAATTAAAAATGAAGGTTTCAATTTTAGGGGATTCTTCATACAATTTAGAGACCAAGAACCTGTTTTGTAACAACTTCAAGAAAAAATAAAACTCAGCTACATCATTAACATAAAATCACAGATCAGAAGATATCTCATTTATTTTATTCTCTTTAGACAGTGTTGCACTAAAAAAGTCAGGGATCTCCTCAGTTATAGGCTCCCAAGTATGCTTTCACGTTACACAGTTCTTATAAAAATTTATTGAAGCTAAATTTTAATTACAGTTGTCATGTAAAATCTTTCTCTTTGTTTCTGAGAGAGAAGGGTCTATGAAACTTTCAAGGTCCCACATGTCATAGCCCATTTTGAAAACAGAAAGGGGGATATTTGTCATTGCAATAATGTCTGAAGGGAGCAGGTACACTGGTACATAGTGTCAGTACCAAGGATATGAATGCATTGCAATATGAGGGACAGATTTGCACATTGAAGAATTGTCCCAGTTCAAAAGCTAAATAACACATTGCAGAAATGGAGGTAGATCAGTAGGCTGAGAGATGATTGTCTCAAAACTTTGCCCAATAGGGGTATTCTAGGATATGGTATCTAACCTAATCAGATAATCTCTTCAAGGACTATGACTGTGAAACACACACACACACAGCCTAGAGCAACAAGCTGGTGGAAGAGTAAGGCTACAAAGTTAGAGAAAGAGAGGAGAGCTAGAAAGAAGCAGAGTTGTGAGAGTGGTGCAGTAGGCAGCAATGGTGGTGGGGGGGCCCTCTTAGGGGACCCTGAGACAGAGGTTCCTGGACAAGGTTTGTAACTGTGCCATCCTGACCAGTGAGGGACAGTGCCCAATTCTCTCTGCCTACTTGACTTAGCCCTTGGAGCACACAATGGATAAGGTCTTCATTTAGCCACTCAGCACAGCTGCTTTGACTCTATTGCCATGTCCCCGACGGTACGTATTTCCCCTTCTTCAGAAAAACTGGATGAACAGTAAACTAGAGACTCACTGATTGTGTTTTTGAACCACTGAATCAATGCTCACAAAAATACATTTAACAAAAAATAGGACAAATATACCAATTCTTGAAAGTCAGCCCAGGTAGTATATTGCCACCCCCTCAAAAAAAAAAAAAAAAGAGGAAGGAAGGAAGGAAGAAAGGGAGGGAGGGAAGATGGGAGGAAGGGAGGAAGGGAGGAAGGAAGGAAAGGAGGAAGGAAAGAAACCTTTAGAGATAAACAAATTCTAAACCCAAATATAGAGTTCCAACTTTTCAAAAAAGCATGAAGTAAATGAGAGGGATATTTCTGAACTCCCTGGAAAGAAATAGTTCAGTCTCTCAGATTTCTATATAACAAGGAGTAAAATTATTCTCACAAATCTCAAAATAATGGCTATGAGCTCTTATAAGGTCTGGTGCAGTAAACTGTTTACACTGTATTGTGAAGGTAAATTTACAATCTTAGGTTAGTTATAGAAATTTAAACAAAAATCCTTCAAGAAAGGTAAACAAGAGTGGTTATAGCACACAGGACATTTCGTGCTTTGGGGAAGATAAGAAATGATGAATTTGTATGAAAGATTATTGTACTATCTCAACCAATTATTGAAATCTAAATTAAATCCTTGAGTTTGTAAATGACAGAGAACACAGCCTGTCTGTTACAAAAGCACACTGATTAAATAAAAAAATAAATTTCAGTTACCTCTTGATTATAGGCATTAGCAATGGCTAGAAAAGATTGGTAGTTGTAAGTAGACACTAATAAATAATCTGTTCACTAATTTTGAGATATTTGATTACCAAATGAGGTCTTATCTCTGCTCTGATTGATAAAAAGTTTTTAAATTAGTTTTTTAACATCAAAATCTTATAAATAGTGCTTAATTTCTATTGGTCTTGGCTACATAATACTATGATAAAAATGTTTTCCATTATTAAAATACTCTATTTCCAGAATGAACAAAAGATATATTTATTTTTATTCTGTAGAGAATATAATCCAGTTGGAAAGATCTCTGGCTTTTTCTCAAATCTCTCTTCTGATATCTATAATTTCAATCATATTCATGCAGATGTTTGTGAGGATAAAACTAACCACTCATTAGTTTGACCTTTTTACTTTTTATATTAGAAGTTTCTAGTGGAAGGCTCTCTGTGCATTCAATAGCATGGGAAACTTTGGAGAACACACACACACACACACACACACACACACACTTACTTCT